TGTAGTTTGTTTTCTTGTTTTGAGCCCTGTGGGACTTGATCCCCTGACCTGTAACTTGTATGTTTTGTTTGTTAGTTTTGAGACCTATTGGGCTTAACCCCTAGATCTATCACTAGTAATCCCTATGTGGCAGTCTTATGTTATGAACTTGGTTGTCGGACGATTTTTACCGCCTGTCGCACACAGACAGTCTCATACACGCCCATACATGCATAAGAGAAGGGGAGAGGAGACAGAGTCCAAATTGTACACATATCAGAGTAGACAGCGAAAGTTCAACCATGCATAGATGGGGAAAAGACACCTTGGGTTTCTCACTCTCTGACAGACTCCCAACAACCAATCACACGAAGACACCTGCGAGGATAACAATTGGAATTCACACTGATGATGAACCAACTCGAACCAAATATCGTTACAGAGTTTGTTCCAGTATCTCGCCACTTTCAGAACCCCACACTCCACTCTCTACCCTACACCCAGTTAGTAGCGCAACACCGAAATGGCCTCCCAGAGGCCAGCGCCAACCACCCAGATGAAGAACCGATCCTGCGATGAAGTCCTTAGTGCCGGTGAACAACTCTGACAAAGAAACAGGCAGCTATGGCTGCTGCCACCCACGAATACTCAGTGAAGAGCCTCGACCCTGTCAGGCGCAGATACCCTCAGGGGTAGATGCGCTGAGGATGCCCAAGCTTTGGCAACCTTCTCAAGGCCAACTATGGTTGTCGTCCACGGCGAGGGTCTCAGGATGCCGCTTGTAGACAATCGTCACCGCCAACTTGCTTGGCTTCTCCAAACGCTGCTTCGCGAGAATGAACAACCAAAAGTCCTGAATCCATTTTCCTAAACTAGTAATAGATCTCTACTAACCTAGCCTAGACCTAGACCAGACTGACTGGACCGACCGGTACCGATTCAGTTTCGACCTCTAGGCCTCTCCCTACCCGGCTATAGGCTATAGGACCGTCTATCGGTATAGGCCCTTCGGGCCTGTCCGTCCTAGGGGTAGCCCGGGCCTGCTATACACAGTGGGGGTAGCTGTAGGAAATTTGAGTTTGTGTTGGGCCTATATTTCCCATATTTGCAGATATGTCCCTTGTGAATTTTCCGTACAAGTAGGTCTCTCGGTTAGCCCTCAGCCAAACAAAATTACGACTCTAACCTACTGCTGTTACTGTACAGCCTCGCAGTCAGTCTTCGCAGTCAAAATCAGCAAGTCATTGTAGGCTTACCCCCCCGGGGAGTGAGGACCTCCGAGCTAGGGATGCAGACGAGGTGAGCGGCGGGGAAGGTGCCCCTTCTGAGCCGCTTCATACCGCAGAACAATTGACTTTGTTGTCTTGAGGAGTTCCCTTCTATAGAACCATCTGTTCTCAGTAGGAGGTTGGAAGGAGAACCTCACAAGATACTGCCGATCGGAGCCTGTGCCCCATTCATCCTCAATGGAGTCCACGTCATATCCCTTGTCGGATCGGTGGTCCGAACTGAGGGGCCCGGTCTGGGAATGCATCAGTTGGGGTGAGTGGGAGCAGCTTGGATGCATGGAAGACCGGATAGGTCTGTAGATGCAGTGGAACATCAATAACGTACGACAGGCCAAATGGATCGACGTCCACTGTATCTAACACCTGCCACGGACCCAAGTAACGGGGCAACAACTTGGGAGAGATATCCTCCTCCCTCGACAACTCAGAACTGGCTACCCAAACATGGCCACCAGTGCGGATGGGGAAAGGCCGCCTATGGCGATTAGCTTGTTCAATCATTGCCTTTTGGGCTTTGAACAAGTTCGCCCGTGCTCTTTCCACATCTATGCGATAGCGTCTGGCAAACTCTGCGGTGTCTGGTGTCAGGTCAGACTTAGCCTTATTGATGATATCATCGAGAGGCTATTGTGGTTCACGTCCCAGTGCAACCGGTATGGACTGAACCCAGTCGAGGAATGGACAGACATGTTATAAACAAGTTGTGCTCGAGCCAAGTGGAGATCCCAGTCCTGTTGATCTGGAGAGATGATAGGACGCAGCAATTGGAATAAGACTCGGTTCATCACTTCAGCCTGACCATTGGCTTCAGGATGATGAGCAAAAGTCATGTCCAATCGTGAGTGCAAGTAGTCCTTGCAGTAGGACTGCCACTCATTGCTGCAAAATCGGGGGTCTCTATCACTGACTATAGAAGTGGGCGGTCCATGGTGAGTGACCCACCTCTCTGAGAAGGCTGCTCTCACAGCCGGGACCCTAGCTACCTCTGGCAAGGGGATGAACTCTACGTATTTGGAGAACGTGTCCACGCAGACCATAACCTGACACATGCCACGAGGGGTGGTCTTGCCCAAATCTGTGAAATCAATTGACACAAATTCAGCAGGGCCATCAGGTATGGGTAATGGTTTGAGTAGTCCCTGAGGAGGTCTACGCCGGACTTTATTCCTCTAGCAAACCTCACAGGTTTCCACATATCACAGCATATCACTCTGCATCTCCTTCTAGAAGAAGCGCTGCGACAGGGCTGCATAGGACTTTAAGAACCCAAAATGTTCACGTGCTTCATGACACTCTGACATCAGCAGTGTCCCAAGTCGATGATCCTGGGGGGAATGCACAAGCGTTCCTCACCTCTACTGTAGGTATACAGCAAGTCTGAACTCGGGGCATAGCCGGGTTTAGAATTGGGATCCGCTTGCAAATTCCTGACTATGGGTCCATAAGTCGGGTCCTGAGGGAGAAGACGAGCAATGGTCTGACGGGTCTCCTCTCCGAAGGAGTGAGTAGAGGAGATCAGTGCAAAAGAGTCAGGCCTACGAGAGAGGGCATCTGCTACCTTATTGTAGCAGCCCTTCTTGTGCTTCAGTTCAAAGTCAAACATGTCGATGAACTGAATGTAACGTGCCAACTTGTCATTTAACTCTCCCTGGGACTTCATCCACTGTAAAGTGGAGTGATCAAAGAAGATCTTGAAGTGTCTTCCCAGGAGAAAGTGTTTTCAATGTTTCAAGGCACAGATAAGAGCATATAGCTCTTTCTCGTAGGTATAGCTCTGAAGCTTCTGTGTTTTGATCTTCTTACTCATGAACTCTAAATGTCGTAGACCATTCCTATCATCCCGCTCAAGAACTGCTCCAATGCCATACTGACCGGCGTCAGTGGTTAGGATGAATGGCAAAGTGGGGTCAGGCAACTTCAGCACTGGTGCACGAGTAAAGGCCTTCTTGAGTCGTGTGAAGGCCAACTGATAGGGAAGGGACCAAAGAAAAGGAGTGTCTTTCTTTGTTAGGTTGGTCAGGGGTGCAGCCACTGTAGAAAAGTTCCTGACAAACTTTCTGTAGTATGAGGCTAAGCCCATGAAGGACCTGACATCCCTCACTATCTGTGGCTGTGGCCACTCCTGAATAGCAGCTACTTTGGCTGCTTCAGGAGCCAGGCCATCCCCAAAGATTACGTGACCCGGATAGATGATAGAGGGAACTCCAAAGGAGGACTTCTGTCTGTTAATCTTATACTGGCTGTCACGTAACGAATGAAGGACTAGAGCCAAGTGCTCCGCATGTTCCCTGGCAGTCCGACTGAATACCAGGATGTCATCTAGGTAGACAACCATGAACTTGTCCAGGTAAGGCCTGAAGATGCGGTGCATCTCAGTCTGGAAGGTACCTGGGGGATTGCACAGTCCAAATGGCATGACCAGAAACTCGTAAGTCCCATATCTGGTCTTGAATGCTGTCTTGTAGACATCCTCCTCTGCCATCTCAATTTGGTGGTAACCAGATTTGAGGTCGACTTTGTTGAACATTGTGCAGCCCTGCACCATACCCAGAAGGTCATCGATCCTAGGAAGAGGCTCTGTACTTTTCCTAGTGATCTTACTGAGACCTCTGTAGTCGATGCACATTCTGAATTCTCCATTCCCTTTCGGGACGAAGAGCACTGGTGCGCAAATTCATATGTGCTCGGCCGTATCCAGCCTCTGCTGGTCAGGGTCTCTAGCTGTCTTCTGAGCTCCTCAAGCTCAGCAGGGGACATCCTGTAGTTGCGGCCCTTTGGAGGGACCGCTTCAGGTAGTAGCTCAATGTGATGCTTGGTTGGCCAGTTGGGTAATTCAAAGGGCTCCTGCATCAGATCAGCATACTGATCCACAACCTGTTGTATCTCAGGAGGACAGGAAACAGTTGGAGCGTCTGTTTGCTTAACCAGAGCAAACGCTCATGATCATACTGGCGCGAGAGAGAATAGAACTCCCTTAGTCGCAGACAATAGCAACTAGTTTTAGGGTGGTGTTCAACAACAATTCTGCAAGTCTGATACACCCACTGTCCATTGGGGAGCTCAACCTTAGGGATCTGCCAGTCGATCCTAGGGTTGACTGCCCTTAGCCACTGCATCGAGAACACCAGATCAAAGGGTAAGTCAGGGAATATGTAGAAGTTCATACTATGCTTGACTTCTCCAACATTGTCGGAGGTAACAGGGATACCCCTGACCTTCTCCCTGATAGTGAGAACAGTGGAGTCACCTATTCTGACCAGCAGCGGTTGCTGCAGCTGCTGAACTTTCATGCCCAGATGCAATTTCTTGACAGCACTAGGAGACATGAAGTTCCTGGTGGCTCCACAATCCAACAGCCCCTTGATGTTGATGTTGTTGATGAGGGGCCGAAGTAGGATGAGATCGGACTTGCTTTTCTTTTGTTCCTTCAGATGAAGGAAGAAAGCAGCAAGTGACTGAAGCTCATTCTCCTCCGCGTCCTGATCCCGGTCAGGATCCTTATAGCAGAAGGATGCTGCCCGTGCAGTCCCCAAACTCTCACATACTGTCTCAACTGAAGCAGCTGCAGATTCACCTACCTCAGCAGATGAAGGTGCAGCACTGGGGGGAACTGCAGTCCCCAAGGTCTGCTTCAGTTTTTGACTGACCTGGGCCTGGCATGTAAGGGCAGTCCTTTAGAAAGTGCTGGCCCTCACACCTCTGGCAGACCCCTCTCTCCTTTCTTCTTCTCCACACACCCTCCAGGATCTTGAGGTCATGCCAGGGGAGAGTGGAGGGATTGAGTGGGTCAGCTGGCATTCGGACGTCTCTTGGCAGCAGCGCAGGGCATAAGGATTGGAGATCCTTTGGTCGTGCAGCCCTGGACATGGAGGCAAAACTTCATGTCTAGGCCCCCTCCTCTGACAAGAGGAAAGGAGCTTTCCCTCGTGGTGGTGGCAAGGGAAAAGCGGCCTTTGCACATGCAGGGTCTGCATCAGCCTCTGATTCAGATTCCCAACCTGATACACCATCAACCGGGACTGCACCAGCTGCTGATGCTGATATTGCAGCGGCCCAGACTCAGGCTGTTTTGGGAGTTCTGCAGCAACAGAAGAAATTTTCCCTCACCACAGCCTCAGTCAATCCCAAGGGGAAGGATAAGGGGCGTCGTCCTTCTACCTCTGCCCAGCGCCCAAATCTGCCAAGGAGAAAAAACAGCAAGCCAAAAGTGGTGAAAATTGTGAAAATCGACAAATTGAAATGTTGGTAAAATTTCATGAAAGTGCACTTTTGGCTTGCCGTTTTATATGTTTTTTATTTTATTTTTTCGGTTTTTGTTTTACAATATGTTAGTGAGAAGTGCACTCTACAGATTGGTGTAAAGTATGGTTAAAATGACACTTTAGTTTTCTTATAAATGAGGGTGAAAATTGGGGGGTCGGTTAACCTTCTCTCCTTGGCAGATTTGGGCGCTGGGCAGAGGTAGAAGGACGACGTCCCTTATCCTTCCCCTTGGAATTGACTGAGGCTGTGGTGAGGGAGAATTTATTTTGCTGCTGCAGAATTCCCAAAACAGCTCGAGTCTGGGCCGCTGCAATATCAGCATCAACAGCTGGTGCAGTCCCGGCTGATGGTGTATCAGGCTGGGAATCTGAATCAGAGGCCGATGCAGACCCTGCATGTGCAAAGGCCACTTTTCCCTTTCTACCACCACGAGGGAAAGCTCCTTTCCTCTTGTCAGAGGAGGGGGCCTGGACATGAAGTTTTGCCTCCATGTCCAGGGCTGCACGGCCAAAGGATCTCCAATCCTTATGCCCTGCGTTGTACAAAGCAACAGAAAACTTCTCAAGCGCTGCCCTGCAAAAGCTGGTTAGTAAGTCATCTGCAGACATCACCAACCCAGGGGTGGAAGTTAGCTGCTCGAACTCTGCAAACAACGATTGCAGGGAGCCGCTATAATGCTGTTGTCCCAGGCGAGCAATCCTGTCAGCAGCTTTGCGGGCCCGCTCCTTGTCTGCAAAGCGTTCTTCCAGGGCCTGCAGAAGGTTGTCCACCCCCAATCCCAACGCCCAATCCTCCATTGATTTCTGCAGACCGCTGGAGGTAGAGGCAGCCCACTTTTGAGCAGGCCCCTCCAGCAGTCCCAGAACCCTAGCCACTTTTGTCTGTTTTGGGCATATGAAGCCCCTCAAGTAAGCCCTGGTCCCTGCAGCCCAGTCCCCAACATCAGTCTTGGGGTCATCCCCTCTGAACTTGTTGGGGGCAGGGATCTTGGGACCTCTCTGATCCCCTGCAACAACAGCTGCAAAAGTGGGTTTGGTTGTGGCCTTTTGAGAAGGAGGTGGTGAGGGGGAAGAATGACGTGAACTGGGAGTCGAGGATGGAGAGGAAGGAGGAGGTCTGGGTTTGAGTACAGGGGACTGAGGAACGATCAGCTTGGCTGCTGTCAGCTGAGCAGTTGCATCTAGTATCCTTGACTGCTGAGCTGCCAGATCGTCAACCCGACGCTCTAAACGGTCCAGGCGATCATCCCAGTTAGGGAAATAAGAACTAGTGGCTTTGTGTTCCAGAATGGCCCACTCCGCCAGGTTCTTATTCACCTGGGAACAACGATCATCTGTCAGGACCTTGGTTCGCTGCTCCCTGCGAGAAGTATCTATTGCAGCCTCTAGCTCAGCCGCCTCCTGTCTCTCAAGCTCTGCTCGCAGCGCCTGCTGCTGCTGCAGCCTATCGTGCAATTCCTTCTTTTTCTGCTCAGTAGCAGTCACAGGTGCAGTAGGGGTGGAGGTCGAAGGTTGTTGACCTTCTACCTTCATCACTACTTCCACCTGTGGCTGCTGCTGAGCCTCCCCGTTCGCCATTTTCCTTCTTCAGAAAATGAAATAATAGACAGACAGCAGAGAGTATGCAGCGTTATACAGATTCCTACAGACACTCAGAAATTGCTGCTATCTCATACACAGAAGTCAGGTGGGTGAACAGGCAACAAGTGATTTGGGTTGGAACAGTTTCTCTAGGTCAGACGTCAGACAGACAGTTGGTCGAGTAAAATCAATCACATGATTTCCTTTTACTGACCCTGCACCACACTGGAGTTAGTATACACCACTTCAGTAGTTCCAGAGATACCCTAGATTTCCAAAGCCCACTAGAAAACAAGAGTAGTAAGTGAGAATGAAAGACAATGGCAAGTACAGACAAGAATGATCAAACCAACAGAGCGATTCAGTCAGGGACCCTAAATTCTAGTCCAGACTCCCATTTCGGCCTTGGTGACTCTGGCAATCATACCCTAGGGTATGGTGAAGTATAGTATTCACTATATCTAGTGAAATACTAGATATCCAATTAAGCGCTTCTGCACTACTGACAATTTTTGAATTGCGATTGACTGACAACTGACAGAATTGAATTCTGACGGACAAAATTGAAGTTGTGACTGACACTAGTTAGGACAGGCTATAATTAGATTCGGCACAAAACTACAATTCACGGTATCTCTACTATTCCAGTACAGAATTCACAGTCTAAGCATCCAAAATCAAGCGCAATACCGTCAGCCAGTCACAGAACAACTTTGGATGGAAACCAGTCAACAGAGGGTAAGAAACGAGGAGGAGGAGGTAGGAGAGTGATGGCTATGGCTGTCCTGCAGTCTGCGATTTTCAATTCCAGTCACTTACAGACAGATAGACCATCAATACTAATTAATCTCACCCTATCTGAATCGCTATACAGGGATGTGCATGGAACAGACTCACTTTCCGAGTTTCTTGCAGAGCTTTGTGAAGATCTGGCTATGGCAGACTGAAACCCTCATCTCTCTAGTTTCTTCCAAAAATCCCCCCTCTGTCTTCCACGCACAGAATCTCTTCAAACTTGTTGATCTTCTTCAGGATCCTGATGCACTACAACCCCTCTAGTCAGATACACCGGATTTGACCCTGTGGCGCCCAGAGTGCCAACAAGAAATTATCTCGCCACAGGACCCCACAGCCGCTGATGCTATAAATAGCCTCAGATGAGGTTAATTTCACCTGCGATTGACACAGACTGTCAATCTCCATCAGCGCTGCTCAGGGATGAAGCAACTCAAAGGATTTCGAAGTCCTCAAGGGCAATTCGCCACTCTGAGGCAATTCGCAATACTGCCCTCAGGGTTGGCTATGGCGAATTAGCCCTGTTCTCACCACTTCCTTGCAAGCGCCCTGACAGGCTCAGTGCGCTTGTTCAGTACAACCACTGAACTCCTGAATTCACCGCTTGAAATCTTCTTCCCTGCTGTCTCAGTACTGGAGAAGATGAATCGCCATGAAGCTTCTCGCCGGTAGTTCGCCAGATGAAGAAGATGCCTCAGTTGCACTCAACCCTCAGTGTGCCAATTCCAATCCCGCTTTAATACCAACTATTATGAACTTGGTTGTCTGACGATTTTTACCGCCACTCATACACAGACAGTCTCATACACCCCCATACATGCATAAGAGAAGGGGAGAGGAGACAGAGTCCAAACTGTACACAGATCGGAGTAGACAGCGAAAGTTCAACCATGCACAGATGGGGAGAAGACACCCTGGGTTTCTGACTCTCTGATAGACTCCCAACAACCAATCACACGAAGACATAACAATTGGAATTCACGCTGATGATGAACCAACTCAAACCAAATATCGTTACAGAGTTTGTTCCAATATCTCGCCACTTTCAGAACCCCACACTCCACTCTCTACCCTACGCACATTTAGTAGCGCAACACCGAAATGTCCTCCCAGAGGCCAGCGCCAACCACCCAGATGAAGAACCGATCCTACGATGAAGTCCTTAGTGTCGGTGAACAACTCTGACAAAGAAACAGGCAGCTATGGCTGCCGCCACCCACAAATACTCAGTGAAGACCCTCGATATAGCCCTCCCAGGCGCAGATACCCTCAGGGGTAGATGCGCTGAGGATGCCCCAACTTTGGCAACCTTCTCAAGGCCAGCTATGGCTGCCATCCACGACGAGGGTCTCAGGATGCCGCCTGTAGACAATCGTCACCGCCAACTTGCTTGGCTTCTCCAAACTCTGCTTCGCGAGAATGAACAGCCAAAAGTCCTGAATCCATTTTCCTAAACTATTAATAGATCTCTACTACCCTAGCCTAGACCTAGACCAGACTGACTGGACCGACCGGTACCGATTTAGTTTCGGCCTCTAGGCCTCTCCCTACCCGGCTATAGGTTATAGGACCGTCTATCGGTATAGGCCCTTTGGGCCTGTCCGTCCTAGGGGTAGCCCGGGCCTGCTATACGCAGTGGGGGTACCTGTAGGAAATTTGAGTTTGTGTCGGGCCTATATTTCCCATATTTGCAGATATGTCCCTTGTGAATTTTCCGTACAAGTAGGTCTCTCGGTTAGCCCTCAGCCAAACAAAATTACAACTCACTACTGCTGTTACTGTACAGCCTCGCAGTCTGTCTTGGCAGTCAAAATCAGCAAGTCATTGCACTTAGGCCATTCGGCCTTTTTCCTTTTGCCTTGCCAGGGGTTTGGGTCCCCTTTTCCCTAATTTTTGGGTGGATACAGATGAGCCTTGGGCTGCTGTCTTGGGAGTCCGTCTAGGTCTAGTCCGTGAGCAGAAGTAGCGGGTAGAAAATTGGTTTTGGGGGCTTTTCACGTTTTGGTGGCTGGGAAAACTCTGCCCGTTCGTTGTTGGAGCGCTACTGCTCTATTTTGGACGAGGTCATCTTCTTCCTCGATGCCCAGCCATAGTTGGGATTGGGAAACGTAGTTGAAGATTGCACTGCTGCTATTTTTGCAGCTCTGCATGAGAGCTTCCACACGACTGTATTGTTGGGTTTGGGCGCTGCCATTTTCCACTTGGCATATCTGTTGTTCCTCCTCACGAGCAATGTACTCTTCTTCGAAGTGCTGGATCAGTTGTCTCCTTCTTCATCAGGACTTCCAGCGCTGCACTTCCGCGTGGGCGCTGAGCTGGCGCTGCTATCATTGGGGTTGCTGGTTCAGATTGGCACTTTGTGACAGTTGTGCAACGACTTGCTGGTTCCAGGTAGCCTGCAGCCTCTCTGACGAGGCTGTACCATAGGTAGGGACAGACTCGGAAGTTTGTTTGGCTGAGGGCTAACCGAGAGACCTACCTGTAAGGAAAATTCGTGAGGGACATATTTGTAAATATAGGAAATATGGGCTCAGTACTAACTCGAATTTCCTACAGCTGCCATAACTGCGAATAGCCGACCTGGGCTACCCCTTGGACAAACAGGCCCAATGAGCCTATGCTGATAGACGGTCCTATAGCCTATAGCCGGGTAGGGAGAGGCCCGAAGGGCCGAAACAGAAACAGTACCGGTCGGTCTGTCAGTCCGGTCTAGGTCAAGTAGAGTACAGAAAGGTTGAGAGGATCGGTCCAGGGCTTTTGGCAGTTGACACTTCGTGGTGGAAATTGCTGCGCACGCGGCATCAGGTCGTGGTGACTGATATATGCGTGGGAGACGGCGGACATAGCCAGACCTTCGGAGCACTGACCAGACTAGGGTCAACGCTGTCCACTCTGACTCTCTGGGAGTCAAAGCGGTCTGGGCTATTAGAGGTCTGATGCGTGGGAGCACGTGGTGCACTACTGACCCTCTTTAGGAGAAGGGTCTAGTGGCGATGCTGCCATAGCTGCATCTTCTCAGAGATTATCATCGTCTAGACTTCATCTTCATCAGAGACCGTTGGTGCTGAGTTTCTTCCCCATCATCTGAGCGGTGATTGGCTCTGGGAGCCTGTTTCATCTTGGCGCAGGCCAATGAGTTGGATGTCAGGGTGGCGTTGGGTGTTACCTGGGGTTCTCGTGCGGTTTTTTAGCTGTTCGGTGTGTGTGGGGCTGAGGCGCTACCCCTCTCAGGATAGCGCAACAGGTTTCTGAGGTTATTCAGTGAAAACAATGCTCTGAGTTTAATAAACAGTGGTAAGACTGTGTTCGAGTTATCACCTCTTCATTGATTTCTGACTGTCATCTCTCGGTTGTCTTCTATGAATGATTGTTGGGACTTATGTGGAGAGAATCCACTGTGTTGTGTATGTTGTCACTTCGCTCTTCTGAGTCTTCCGCTGCGTTCCTTTTGTTGGGCGGTGTGACACTCCACTACCTCTCCCCTTCCTTTTGTGCATGTATGGGCATGTACGGGAGTTCCTGTGAGTGAGCGTTGACAAAATTTCAATGGACAATCACGTTCATAACAATTGGTATCGGCGCAGATCGGACCCAGACAGTGGCGAGATGATGGACTGAGGCAGCCATCACTACCTGAGAGCTTCTGACGTTGGATTTCATGGTGGAATCGCATCTTCAGTACTGTGCTGAATAGGGTGTTGGTGAGGAGCGTGTGGAGGCTGGTATGACACAGAGATTGGTGGCGATTCAGTGCTCAGTGGCCTGGGAGGCACTGAGGGGCTATTTTAAGCCCAGGCATTGACTCTGCTAGTGGCGAGATACCTGGGGGTATGTCGAGTTTCAGATTCTGAGCTGGATTCAGTGAATTCGAGTACTGGGGATTAATCGCCATATCAAGAGTTTCAGTATCAACAAGTTTCAGGAGATTTTGAACGTGGGAGCACCAGCAATAGTGAAATGAAGAAACTGGCGAGTTTGATAGTTGTAATTAGACTGGAGAAATCGAAATTGGATGTTTGTAGTCAATGAAACTTGAAAATCGCACTACCTGACTGCCATAGTTATTTCTCCTACCTATCTACTTTGACTTTTACTGACTTTGTTTGACCCCCTCTCTGTCTCAAAATTGCATCTCCGACTGTTTTACAGTATTGCGATTCAGTACCCACTGTGAATTGGATAGTTCAAGATCTATCTGTCAGTGATAATGGAATTATGAATATTGCGCTGCCATAACAGTGCTTGGGGCAGCTAGGGTTTGTCATATCGTAGGTGCTGTTCGTCAGAATTTCAGTCTGTCAGTCACCCTGAAATCGCAATTCAGTGTTGAGTCAGTGTCTGAAAGCGCTCTACTAGGATTGATGGTTTGAGCCAAATACAGTGATATTTGTACTTCGCCTCAACCATAGTGAGGCATATAGGGTCCTACAGTGCCAGTGTCAGTAGTAGGAGTCTAAAAACAGCTTCATCAGTAATTTGCTGCATCTTGGTTGACTACTGAATGGTATTAATTGCTACTTACTCTCTGCGCTATTCTAACCCTCCTACTTACAGTCCTAGGTTGCATCCTGTCTGATTTTCTAACAGCGATTCTGGGGTTATTACACTCAGATGAGGGTTTTGGGCTGTGAATGAAAAATCGCGAGTTGATTTTATCTGGGATTGCCCTAAACTGACCCAGAATAGCCCTAAGCAGCCTGCAGAGGCTGAGCGCTCTTCTGCCTATCACACCATGTCTCTTCTCATCAGGTGGTAGTGATTACATCCTTGAGTGTGTGTTGTAATCTTAATTTCTGCTAACCTTGGTTCTGCGTGTCTTATTTATTTGACTGTGTGGGTGTGTAACGATGGTCGACGCGGAGACAAAGGTTGAGGAAGGGGAACCTTCTGCTCACCCTCCTCCAGCAGTATCCTTATTTATTTGAAGTGGAGGAAAACCGCAGAAAGGCAGAGACCCATATCCAGCGGTTGAAAAAGGAGATAAAGGAAGTTGAGGAGGCTAGCAGGGAGGAGGAGAGGAGGAGAAAATTACGTAAAGAGGTGGAGAACGTTGTTGTCAGTGGTACTTTAAGTCAATATAGTAAAGATACTGCTGAGTTGGTGTTGTTAACAGACACTCTCAACAGGTCTTACTTTTCTAACTGGGACCAGCGGATTCTCGCTGTAGAGAATCAATGCTCTGCCATCGACCACAAGGTCGATAAGTTGACAGCAAGCCTTGATTCCCTGACAGCGAGTGTCAACAAGATTCTGCAGCATCTGCAACTCCCTGTGCCTGCTCCCCAACCTCTTCAACCTATCCTAAAATCCGGTTCACCATCCCACAGTCGTCCAACTTCACCTATTGGTTCCCATGTGTCCACTACCTCTGTCCCCTCTGGCACATCTGATCAGCGGCGGCCCAAGCTGACGCCACCTCCTATGCACTCTAGGGAAGACCCCAAGGTGGATGTCTCAGACTAGGTTACTGCTATGCAGGCATACCCGGGCAACTTCGTTTGTCTAGAGGTGACAAAGGTAGGAACGATTATGGGGTGTCTAGATCCTCTGCAGCAAAACAGAATCTGCCCATGGACAAATGGGCACAACAGCTGAAGGTGGAGGGGTTGCTGCAGGCCCTCCGAGACCGGTTTGCAGACAGGGAACAGGCCCGAAAAGCAGCAGATAAGATACTGTTGTTGGGTTCACGCAGGTAGGGTTGCCTGTCCACGCTCTACAGTTTGTTTGAGAGCTTGATTGCTACACCCGGTCGGCAGATGAGCGAGTCTGACCAGCTCACTCACTTCCTGCGCGCAGCGCCTCCAGACTACTCCATTGCTTTGTACTCTCAGGGCCACACGGATTCGAGGTCCTTTGGTAAAACGGCCCTGGACCTGGGGTCCTGGTGTCGAGCGCATCGGCCCCTGTGCGAGCGAGGTCCCTCCCGGCCGCGTCACGCAGGAGAAACTTAGGCTTTCAACTTTTTAGAGACAACTCGGGGACGACACGGTAACCCGCGTCGACCCTTCGCCGCTCCGGCCAAGTGCGCCAGCTGTACATCCCTCGGTCCCCTACGACAGGACAGGTTCTCGCGAGTCACAACTTACCTTCCCTAAGGGGCTGTCACCACCCTTAGGGGCGTATCCCCGCCGAGCTACCGACCCACATGCGAAAGCTTTTAGATGCAATTGCAGAGGTAGGTCAGTCGAGGGCGTTTGCTCGTTCGCTGTAGCATAGGTACGCATGGTTAAACGCCAAAGTGGACCCGAACGTCGTCCGTCCCTGGGGCGCTGATCTCCCAGGAATCAGACCGACGTCGGTCGACTAGGACGTGATATTCCAAGCGTAAGAAAATCTCAATCAATCCTAGTCCCTTCTTTCAAAGACAATCAAGAGTCACTCAGACAAACCCTTTCAAAAAAAAGACTCGGGTCAACGCAAGTTGACTTATCTTTCGAAATCAACCTATATGTAATACAATCATGCATACGACAAAGGTTGACTTGGCTTCAAACAACACCTATCAATAAAAGATCAAAACATAACCAATATACAAGGCGACACTCAAGTGGCGTCTGACTAAAATATCTTCACTCTGCCTGCCAGACGGCTGGACTGTCACGACTTTTTCGACTCGATGAGATGCGTTGCCAAGTTCTTTCTTTTCGCCCTATACTAACTGCTAGGAAAGAAGCACAGACAAATCCCAATTCTCAAGTAAAGCTAGGATAACATTGTTTTAGTGATGACCTCACTGCCTTTCTAACTTTGGTGTGAATGTCATCTGCAAGTAATTTGGCTACCGTTATTCAAGTCGGTACTCGACTTGAACGACCGAACGTTGAATGCCTCATTGAGGTCAAGGATCCATTTTCAAATTTTGTTGGTCGCTTTGTCCTCCTGGGCAATAGTTACTCTTCTTGTTCCGCTGTCGGGGCAAGGGAATTTGCCGGGGTTTTTCAACATCGGACGTCGTCCGACTTCTGCGTTGAAATGAAGGACTTGATGAGACAACGTTTGCCAAAAGTTGATTCGGACCTGTCCTATGACTGACAGACTAAAAGTTTCGAATGTTAGTCCGAACGCATCTGGCGTCCAGGAGTAACGAATGTGCATGATAATGCTTCGCTTTTGTCGGAGTTGCAGGAATATGAGGACATGGGAACGGAAAAACTAAACCTATTCTACCTAAAATAAAGTCACGCGGCTGTACAGCCGCACGATTCAGGGCCGGAGAAGGCTAAAAATAATGGGTACGCCGGGTATAGGACCGCGTCGCAGAGGGAATAGGAAGGAAGTGTTTTTATGGGCCACGGGGTTTGACTTCGAGCCGAGGGGCCGACAGACCGCTGCTGAGGCCTGCCCAGAAGGGTGACCAATCAAGTCGGCAGTCACGCAGCCAATCGACGGGACAGGGGCCTGCAAGCAAGGTCTGTTAGGCCTCAGGCAGGCGAGGCCTGCTGGGCTACAGGCTGGAAGATTGACTTGGTAGAGCTCCTCATATAGAGGAGCTGCTCTTACTACTCTCGTAGTAGGAGCTAGCCCAGTCGGTCAGGTACCAGGCTCATATGTCGTTGATACAGACATCGAACCAGAGGAATACTGGAATGCTGGGCTAGCTCCTTTTTGGAGCAGCATTGGCAGTCCGGCGCGGCCGATTTCGGCCGCGCGATCGTCGAGATCGCGTGGCTGCAATCAGTCGCGCGGATGTGCATGGCCCCTGCGCTCTCAAGGATGACACGCATAAATCAAGAAAAATAAAAAATAAAAATAAAAATCTAAAACTGACTAAAGGAGTAGCGCCACATGGCGCATCAAGAAGTGACAGGGGCTTCAACCCCTGTGTACCAAACAGTCGCCCGTGGAAACGGGCGACCATTCTTCTACTCGAGGTGAGTTCAATCTGCCTCTTTGTTATCTTCTTCTTTTCTTTCTTTCTTTTTTTTTAGGATTTATTTTAGATTTCTTTAGATTTTGTCTTTTCCCTTTTTAGATTTCGTTTGGATTTTGTTTTCCTTTTTTTTTATTTCTTCTTTTTATGGCACCTGTTCGTTTTGACGAACGGGTCGTGACTGTGGCCGATGTCCCATTAGCAAGGATGATCGGATTGAGCTTCTGGATCTGGATGTGTTGTCAGCAGAGATGCAGAAAAAGCAGTTCAATCGCGGATTTCTGCACCTCTTCGCGAACAGGTCTAGATTCCGACATTATCCCCGATCCTTGTTGCTAGTAGGGCTTCGCCCTATGCCAGACTGTTTCGTCGGACTTCCACCGACTGATCAGGAGGCTGAACCTCGACAGTCGTCGACGGGCAGCCAAATCGAGTAAACTTTCCCCTATAGAGGGGAACTATACACTAAGAGAGAGAGAGAGAGAGAGAGAGAGAGAGAGAGAGAGAGAGAGAAAGAGGATGAGAACGACTTGCCTGGTGGCTGTTGTGACATGACCATGAACAGGTAAGTTCTTCACTCTTTCTTTTTGTTCTTTTTTTATTTTGTTTTCTTATTTCGTTTTTCTTCAAGTGTTCTGGTGGTGTCGTGGCTGCGCCCGTCCGACTTTAGGAATAGGATGCAGCACTTAACAGCGCCCGAATCTGGCACTGTTTGCGGCCGGGTGCGGGCACATGTTGCAGTATGGGGGAGAAGCCCCTGTTGAGCCTGACTCTAGTCCGGCCGAAGTGACCCCTAAGCCGCCTGTTCGTTGATAAGCAATGGGCTGGCCCTCACAGAGGAACAAGGGGGTAGGTAGGGAAGAGAGAAAAGAAAAACAGTAATAAGTAACGGCCACGTATGTGGCCGCGGGGGTAGAATAAATACAGGGGTAAGAAGAAGGAAGGAAAAGGAGAGGAACAGGTACAGCCCCTAGAAGGTTCTAGGGGCTGATGAGACTGTGCCTGTTCCTTTTTTGAACAGGCAACAGTCTGGCTGGATACAGCCATTTCCATGAGCACCAGGCCTAGGAAAACGGCCAGGTACCCCTGGGGGTTGATGACCCTGGTTCCCCTAAGGGGAAACCAAGGCACTGGGCTCCTGGCCATTGATTTAGATCAAGGGCCAGGAGCTCTGACGAATTTTGCCTGGCTGCGGGCAAAGCAGCTGCCCACATGCCTTCGGCTGGCTATAAAAGCCAGCACTCCACCCAGCAGCATCACACTTGTGGCAGTGCTGCTGGGGCATTCACTTGAGTGAATGCTGGCTGGCTGCTACATGTTGCTGGAGAAGGGCGGTGCTGCCAGTGGGGGTGCTGAGGTGGAGAGTGGAGGTCTGCAGGTTGAAGGGGGACATTGCTGCAGGAGGAAAAGGGAGGCTGCCATAGCCGCCACTTCACTTGGTGAAGTGCCGGGAAGGTGCTGCCTACACCGCGCGGCTGCGGCAACTGTTTTTTGCTGCGGTGCAGGGGAGGTTCTGCCCGTTTTGCGCGGCGGCGGCAGGTCTTCGGCAAGCGGTGCAGGGGAGGCTCTGCCCGTTTTGCACCGCGGCGGCAGTGTAATTTTGCCAGTGCTGCGGGAACACTGCCGAATTTTTTTGGCAGCAGTTGTGCGTTCTGGGCGGTGGTGCGGAAGCGCTGCCGGATTTTTGCAGCAGCGACATTGATTTTTACGGCAGTGGTGCGGAAGTGCTGCCGTTTGTTTTGGCACGGCGACAGCGACGTTGTCAGTGAGGAAGTGCCGCCGTTTGTTTTTGGTACAGCTGCAGCGACGTTGTCAAGGGGAGGTATTGTCCATTTGGAGTCTCGACAATGGCAGCAGTGCTGCCGGAATTTTGCAGCGGGGTGGAGCCGGTTTTTTATGTTGATGTGTGATTAGGCGGTGATGCCGCACGGCGACATAGTACCGTTGACGGCGCAGCAAGCAGTGGTCCGCATATTTTTTTGTGGTGCGCGGCTGTTAAGGTGAATTTCAGTGTGGCCTAGAGGATGGGCTAACCCTGGTGCACGTTTGGGACTTTGCGACAGTGTTGTGTGGGCCGGTGACATGAGGAGGACGCGGAGTGAGTGCTCGCGACAGTGGCTATTGGAGTTGCAGTGCTTGCGGTTGCGCCAGGAAGACATCCTTATTTTTGGGAGGCTCGTGGCACATGCAGTTTCAACCAGGGCCGCCTTTATTTTTTTGGCGGCGCGCAGCGCAAGCAGGATTTGATTTAGGGACCATCCAGTGCTGTGGCGGTAACGTGGGACCGTCTAGGACCATTTTTGGACCAGGTGGGACTGATTTTGAGATCGGGAACCGACATATTGGGGTGGCTATTGTGAGTGTGCGTGGTGCTTGGAGAAGGCGTGGACTTGCGATTGGTTGAGAGTATCCTTGGTAAGGGAAGT